CTAAACTGAAATAAAAATAATTGTAGAATAAGAAATTTATTTCCCAAAAAGGAGCATCACAAAAACTATATTTCCGCAAAGAAACTCTCAATTTTGTCTTTTTGGAAAGCCGTTTCCTTCAATCAAAATGATTTTAAAATGATTTATATTTAAGGCAGCAAAAAGAATCAAATTAATAAATGTTCTACCAAAATGAACATTGCAAACGTTCCAATAGGCATTAAAATAACATTTGGAATAAGAAACGATACTTAATGTGTATCGATCGTTACAATTTGAATGTCGCTGTAATGGAGAGTTGTACTAAAGAGACTGCATTATTAGAATTTTTCAAAAATTAATGATTAATTCGATGGTCTGTCAATCAGTTAGGGTTTTCGTAATATTTCTGTCTGACAAACCACTGTGGAACAAGTGATTTGTCAGGTAAACGAACCCGGTAAACGTACCTGACGGGAAATTGAGCAAACGTCTTTCTCAGGCAAACTGAGGCGGGCAATTGTTCAAGTTTAAATGTTTGCTAAGAAATTTTTATTAGTTAGCAATTGTTAAAGTATTGATTTCATGATTTTCCACTACATCAGTGAATGGTAAAATTCATTCAAAATCATAAGAATTTAAGTCAGGTTGATCATTATTTCTTCCAAACGTGTATTAAAACTATTATTATAGGTTATTTAGGAAGAAAAAATCCTAATGTTAGAAAAACAACAATTTTTGAGATGATGATTCTAAAAACAGCACGTTTTTCGAATCTTTTTACAATTCTTTATTTTAGTTGTTACTTCACAAAACAAGGCATATCGAACATTTCCCTGATATAGCAACATTTTTTGAACTGTCCAAAAGTTGAGAAATAATATAAACAACTTTTTAAGCAGATATTTTCAACTTTTTAAAAGAAAAGGGTAAATTTGTTTAAGTTAGCGGGTAAGAATAACTTTGAGCGTCAAAATAAAATGTCCATTGTTTTTTGTTCATTTAAATAACAAAACAATCTGTTGTATTTTTTTGCTGTGCACACATACGCATTTACTTTTCATTACTCAAATAAATAAGAAACAATAAAAAAAGAAAATTAATAATTTATCTTCATTTTTCAAAAACAATAGTATGCTTAGTAAATAGTCAACTGTTCTGCATAGAATGATATTGATCAGTAAAATATTTTTAATTTCTTAACAAGACTTAATTCTCAGCTAGCTGGCAATAATTCTAAGTTTTCTTTCAATAAAAACTTAACAATAATTTAAAAAGTAATTTTATTTTAAAGGAAATTATAAATTAAAGTACTAAAACAATTGATTAGTATAATAATGGAAAAATAATATGTATGGTAGCATAAAAAATAAGATTTTAAGAAACGTTAAAATTTAATTAAAAAGTTAGAAAAATAATTCTGTGAAACACGCGCAGACAAGTAATTTATAACTTATTTTAAGATTAAGGCGATATATAAGATGAAAAGAAGTTTTAAGATGCTTCAAAATGTGGACGACGCATTTGTATTAATAATTATAAAATAGATATTGAAAACATTGATATTATTGCAAATCTATGCATACTTTGGTATATTATTGAAATTGTATCAATTATTTAAGGAGCAAACTAACAATTAAAATAAAAAAAGGTGATATATAATTACATTCTATCAGAAACATGCTGTTATAAAACTCAACATTTGTTTATAAAATGTTTTTATTTAATAAAATGTTTTATTCAGATCTCTTTTTAAAACTAGGAATAAATTTTTAGAAAACTAAAAAAAACAGAACATCTTATTTTATAATTTAAAAAAAAGATTAGCAATCGGTTATCAGCGAAAATATAGGAATGAAATTTTACTCTACGCGCGCGTAAATCATGTCCGCGCAAGTTAACCACATTTAAAGGTTAATCGCTCCATTTAAATATTTCTTCATTGTCGCCAAATTATTTTTTAAAAAATAATTAATTTCAATTTTTCTCGACTTCTACCGTATAAAAATTGTTGAAACTTTAGATTTTGATACATAAAAATACGTAGATTAATACGATACAAAAAATTTTATACCTTATAATTCAAAAATTTTTCATCCACAATGAAATTAAATAATAAAACATAATAAATAATTATTAAAAATTAGTTTTTGCATGAAATTATCTTTGGGTAAATAAGTTTTAGAAGAGAGTGCAATTTTTTTTGAATTGCTTTATTAGTTTTAAAACTATGACTAAAAACGCAAGAAGTGAAATTAACATTAAGGGGTCCGAACTTTGGATCGCTCTCCTGACCAAACTATGGGAACCATATTTCCCAGATTGCGGCTACTCCCTATATTTAGAAGGTTAGGAATCCAAATATGTTGAAAAAATTTATGTTTATTCAGAGAAAGTACGTTTTTGTGTCTGATTTCGTAACTTAATTAATAGTTAGCACTAATTAATTAGCATATTTGAGGTCACCCCCGAAAACCATTAAGATTGACAGTTAGTTCGTGAAAATCCGACCATTCGAGCAAAAGTTATTCAGGGTAATTCGTTTTTTTTTTTTTTTTTTTTTTTTTTTTTTTTTTTTTTTTTTTTTTCCTTTTAGGACTGTACAGTGCGCCAAAGCAAAAAAAAAAGACCCACTCTGAATAACTTTTGATCTAATGGTCGGATCTTCACATTCTAGGACTCATTATATATGGTTCGAGAAAGTAACCTCAAATATGCTAATTAGTTAGCGCAGACGATATTTTAAGTTACGAAACCAGACACAAAAACGTACTTTTTCTGAATAGACATACCTTTTTCTTCAACGGATTCTGATTTCAGACCCTCAACATATAGGGAGTAGCCGCAATCTGGGAAATATGGTCCCAATAGTTAAGTCAAGAGAGCCGTCCAAAGTGTGGACCCCTTAATATTAATTTTACTTTTTGTGTATTTCGCCAAATCTCGATAACTTTTTAACCTGATTGATAAATTTTATACACAATTATAAAATTCGTTTATCCTACTAACTATTTTTTAAACTATATTTATCTTGAACATCGCGTCAAAATTTGAATAAATTGGTCGGAAATTGTACTAGTTAGAGCAAGTAAGAGAAACATAGTTTTCAGTAAATTATGTTTAAAGTTTAGTGATATATAAAAATTTTCATCTAACTATAATGCATGGGTCCATATGATGCTTCTTTTCCATCATTTTCAGCCTTATCGATTTACCCTTATGTGACACCTCATATGTTCTTAGAGTAGCAGCCAATATTTACATTTATTTTTAAATATTCCATAACTATCTTTACAACCTTCATTAAAATTTATAACAGCTAAATAAATTACGATTTCAACTATTCAAAATACCATCAATTCTTTTCCTTGCATAATTTAAAAAATTATTTCAATGAAATAGTTAAAATAATAGTATTTTCCTAATATGTTTTGATAGGAGTGAGAAAATCTATTGATCAAATCCCGCCCTCTGTCGTGCGCCGATATAATATGCTGTAACTTATACATTTTTACAAAAAATCAATTCAATGTTTTGATAAATTATCTTAAATTACCGATAAATACAAAAAATCGTTTTTAAATGTTCCCCTTTAAATGTTAGGTTCCAGATTGCAGCCCATAATTTAAGTGTGAAGATCTATGAAAAAGTCTGATTTTCTTACTTAAAATATTATCTGCACAAATTTATTTCAGATTCTAATCATTAAGAATGAGTCCTAATAGTTGAAATTCTGATGATTAGATCAAAAGTTATTCATTCAAGGTGTTTTATATTTAAGGCTTAGCACCGACTTAAAGATAATTTCGAAGGTTAAAAAAGAGTAAAATATTCTCAGCTTCAGTGCAAACAAATTCTTTTTGACAAAAGCATTTTCTCTGCATGTAATACTGCAACAATGAACACGGCCTTTCAAACAGGGAAACTTTTTCCACTTAAAATATTTGAAATAATAAAGGAACGAGGAGTAAACAAAATAGTGGGCGGTGTTACTTTCGATCGGAAATTAGAAGCGAAGGTGGATCAGTTGAGCACGCCTGCCAATGAGGTGACCCACGGAGAGGGATTCTAACCCAATATCTTTTTTAATGTTCTTCTCTAACTTGTGCTATCTGATTAAAGCAACAAACAGCGTGAATAAAGCACAAATGAAAATATATAAATTGACAATTCAGTTCGTTTAATTAGTGTTTGTTGCAAGTTTTAAAAAAAACCTACTATCCTTATAGAGAGAGCCAAGTGCAAACCAAATGGATACCAAGCTTCTAGCGCGAACGTACGAGTATATCTGTATCGCTTATTACTGAAACGACGTTGCTCCTTTTGCTTGCTTTCTTATTAATATTATAGCAGTTATTAACAACAATAATCAATTAACAAGTAATAAGAACTAATAAAAATTATATTTAAAAATCGTAACCAATAAACAACTTTCTGACCGCTTTCAAAGAAACTGATGAAGGAATAATAAATATTGTTTTTGCAGAAGATTTTCTTCTACAACGAAACAAAAGTAAAAATTCTTTATCCTGTATTTGATTAGTTAAGAACATGTTAGCATAAGACGCGTCTGTTGTAGCAGTCCAATAAAATCCTCTTGCAACGTCATATAGTTGTTTCTTTTTCAAGAGCGAATGTTTCCCTTATTTATTAAAATCTGTCACTAAATCTAGGATTCCAGTAAAGCTAAGAAATTAAAACTTTTTTTTAGTAACTCTATGATGTACATCGTAAAAGATAGCACGAATTAAATTTTTGCCTGACATGTTTAACTTTTTAAAGCTTTTATATTGTTTTGAAAGCATATTTGTATAATTTGATAAGGATATAAAGTGGAATTATATGCATTACTTAAATCTTATATCGCAATGGTCTTTTCTTAACTTGAAACAGAGTTTAAATATCAAATGAAGCTAGAGAAATAAAGAGACAAATATGTAACCAATAAGAACAAAGGAACAAGTTTGATCAAGGAAATAACAATAGCTATTTTAGAATATATCTTTATTGAATAAAAACTTAATAATATTTCCCATTGCTTGAAGAGATATTTATTTGATGATTAGAAAAAGTCCCTAAAATCTATAATCACCAAGAGGGCGATCTTCATCGTCCTGCAGTTGGGATAAAACCATAAAGACGGGACGATTTCTCGAAAAGCTCCCTAAATTAGGACGACTTGCATGGACCAAACTACCAACAGGAGATAATGGACGTGGCATCAAAACATCTTTCGATGAATCCTGAAATACAAAAAACTGTTTATTTTTTAGACAGAGGAATTTTAATAAATATGATTATTGTTCCATCTCTTCGAACGTTATTTTTTGAGTAGGGGAGATAGAAAAAAAAACCTTTCGTAACTCAAGCTATTTAAATATATTTTAAGTTTAAAAACTTTTGTTTAAAAAAAATTGAAATGCTTATTAAACATAATTTTATCCATGAAATACTTTTAACTAGGTTCTAGTCATTTCACTGAAAAAATATTTAGAATTATTTTCGGTAGTAAAACGTAATATTAATGATTTATATTATTATTTTTCAAAGCATTCGACTATTATTGAATAAAAAGTAATAAATATTTACTAGGATAGTTTTTGCATGCAATTAACTTTGGAAAACCAAGTTTCATAATAGTGTGCAAAATTTTTTAAATTCGCTTATAGTATTTTCCAGGTATAGTGAATTACGCAGTAAGTAAAATTACAAAAAGTGTTTCACACTTTGGATCGTTCTCCTGACCAAACTATTGAGACCATATTTCCCAAATTGCTGCTATCCCCTATATTTTGAGGGTCAGAAATCCAAATCCGGTGAAAAAAGTTATGTATCGTCTGCACTAGTTAATTAATTAGCATATTTGAGGTCACCCTCTTAAATTATTAAGAATAAATCCAAGAACGTGAAGATCCAGTCGTTAAATCAAAAGTTATTCGAGGTATTTTTAGCGCACTGTACATGATAGACGAACTTAATTATAGTCGCAAAGAACCTTGTTTTTGGGAGGGAAATTTCTCTAAAGTTTTAATCAATTAAATTATTATTAAAATCCAGCAAAAATAACATTTATAAAATACAAAAATAAAATAAATTTCCAGTAAAAATAACATTACGTTTAAAAAGTCGATAAATTTTTTTCTAGACTTCTTAACTTTATCTTGGGTAATATATTTTGAAAAATTTTAAGTCATTTTTGTTAACTAATCAACTTTTAATATCTTGCGTTAGCAAATACAAATTATTTTTACGAATCATAATATATATTTTTAGCTGATATATATTGAAAAATGTTAAATTTCAAAGTAATAATAGTTTATAATTTCTCAATAAATTCGTAGAGTTAAAAATATTAAACTTAAAATTGACTTTTAACTGAACATTGCAACATTATTTAAGTAAAGTTGTTAGAAAAAAAACATTTAAAATCATTCTAATTAAATTAAAGTGTATCAAGCTTCTGAAAAAGGCAATGCAACCTTTTTAATATATTGCAATATTTCCCAAAATTCTGGGTTTTATCTCCTAAACTATGTTTTTCTTTATTTTTTTATTCTTTATTTTTATTCCTTTATAATTCTTTTTTTGTCTTTTAAAAACTGCGGTTTTTTTCAGCATTACTCCCAACTCAATTCGCATTTAACTAGAGTTAACAAAGCAATATCTCTCCTCGAAAATGACAAAAGTTTCTCCAGAAGAAGATTGAAAATGGTTGGTGTAAAATATTCTCCTGAATTAATTGTTAGTGAGTTTCATTTACGTATATACAGTTGACAAAAAGTATTAGAACCCTAAAGGTCATTTAAAATTCTTATAAGACAAATCAACCAACCTAATCCGAACTCTGATTTCATTTACCTTCATCATAACAAAAGCAAAAGCAAATGGAAATAAAAAGCAAGCTTGTTCCAACAGAATTTCAAACAAAGAAACAATAATTTTTTTTTTCGCAAAAAAAAAAAGTATTAGTACATTATAAGAAACAAATAATAACATTTCGCATAATCGGTGATTGGTGTTCGGTCTTAAGCGAAGCGCCATCTGTAGCAATTGTTGTGAACTACTCAGTTTCTCTTGAACTCTTGTTTGAGCCAGTCGTGGCTTCCATTGTAATAGTGCAATGATTTTGGTTATTTACAATTGTTAAAATAAAGTATTGTTTGTTGAAATTATAGTATTTAACGAACCAGCGCACTGTGTACAATCGTGTACAATTGGCTAACCTTATATGAATTTATTAATGCAAACGGCTTTTTAAGTTACCGAAACAGACACAATAAATGAACATTTTTTTGAATTTTTTAGTCTTAAAAAAATTGCTAACCGCAGTAAGCCTCAATTTGGAATTTCCGGTAGTTTTGTAAAATATTAAAAAAAAAAAAAAAAACTTTGCACCCTTTTAAACACTATAACTTTAAATGGCAGAAAATAAAAATGGAATAAAACTGGTTCTTTAGTTTCTAAGAAAATGTTAAAAGTCTTACTTGTTAATTTTTATTTATCTAACTACTCTATCGATTTCGCTTAAAGTTTGGAGTTTCTCATATAAAATTACTTTATTAAGATGATGCGATTCTAAGTACAGATTTTTCACTCTTTAAAAAATCGGTAATGTATTTCACGTTTGCTAAGAACTTTTCATTCTCATAAATTAATGTAATAAAATAATATTGATGATATACATAGAAGAGTGAAACTTGCTGTTTACCACCTCTCTAAATTGATCTTCATTATCAAGAACCGAATTGGTCCCATGCAATAAATAGTCTTTGTAACCTGTATCTTGCATGATGAAATAATGAAAATTTCTTTAAGCAGGGAATTAGATGCTATTCTAAAAGCCATCATAAGTTGACCGGACGAAACCTTCATAAATCTTTCTATGTTACGTATTAAAATTTCGCTAAATTAGTAAAATAGTATTCAAAGGTATTATACTTAATGAGCTGAGCAGAAGATAAACTTACGATGTCTTTTGTAAAAACTAGGTTTGTAATTAAAACAAAATAAGTTTCAAAATGGTAAAATGCATAAATTAATATTAAACTTTTTAATTGCATAAATTGATATGAAATTTTTTAATTGCATAAATTGATATGAAATATTTTTGATTGCATAATTTGTCTTGTGTATTTATATTTTAAGAAATTATTTTCTACAAATAATACATGCTACAAATAATGTATATAAATACATGCTTAACTAAGAAAATATAATTTTTTAAGCTTATTGTTTTAAAATTAAATTTCTATAACAAATTGTAATTCATTCTGTAAACAACCTTATTTCTTAAAATATATTGGATATTTGCTTAATAAAGCATTTAAGTCTTGTTAAAAAAGCATAATTTATCTTTATTTTATTTTGTGACTTATATAAATAACAACATAAATAATATGGTATAAATAGGATAAAAGAAATAATTGCACAAAATCACTCATCTACTCTATAAGCTGACTACCTAGCTATATCTAAGGCTGACCAGTAAAGTAATATACTGCAACTTACGCACCATAATGCGTAATACACATTGCATTTTTATAAACCATACAGATTGTTAAGAGGTTAAAGCACTCTAAAATTTTTAATAATTATTTTTGCTTAAACTGTGTCATAATACATTGAAAGGATGAAAAAGTAGAAAAATATTTTATCCCTTATGATTCACTTCAAACTTAACAACGTTACATTTTGTTTTTTAATAGAATTCCGACGAATTTTCATGAAGAATTTTGAACTTTTTTAGCAAGTAATTCTTTCGTACTTTTTTAGCTATTCTATTACTCGACCTTCAAAGCGACAGGTTTCACAGAAAAAAAACTAGAGCTACCGTTTTATTTTACATAGCTTTGTGAAAATTAATTTTTGTAAAATTTTGTAATCGGTGTTGAACAGCTCACCCATTTATGGATTTAAAGCTATCAAAGTTAAATTCCGCGCCCTGTAAATTTTAAACAAAACCTAAAAGACAAAAAAAAAAACCTCTCTTTGATCGACCATTCAGATACACAAGCTTTCACGAAGGACTTTTAGAAGGAGCTAACTCACATTTGAGTTACATAAATATGAAAATCATTCATGGTTAGCCGACGGCAAGGGGATTAAAACCCATGATTCGTCAATCACTGGGACTATATCTTGGATTTAAATTTGAATATTTGATTTCCGTTTTCTTGATATTTTTTGTACTTATCAAAGTGTTATAATATTTTTCGTCAACGCAATCTCATTCAGAAAAGGTGTACAAAAATGGGGTAGCTATATAAAATTAGGAGAGCTGAACAACTTTTAGAGCTTGTGGAATTTTCCACTGGTTTTGAATCAATCATTTAAAACTACACATTTGCCACAGGTTATCTTTCATAAAATGTAATTTTATTGCAGTTTAAATTTCGGAAAACAGATTCTGGTGATGCTGAAAAATGATTATAAAGTAAATTGCACAACAAATATTATTATCAAAAATCTGAAAACAGACTATCTTTTATAAACTGCTGATTGTATTGTTTAGTCAGAAACAATCGAATCCCTTTAATCTCAAACTCTAATTGGGTGACGATTTTGTATTTTACATGTATGGATGGTTGATCCTGTAAAGCTAAGCAAAGATGGAGTTCATAGTAAGGGTTAATTTCTCCGATTGATTTTTATCTTGAAAAAGCGCTCCCTCCAATCTTATTGTGTTTGCAATATAACGCATTATTTCTATTTAAATTTCAACGAAGCAAACAACAAATGAATTTGGAAGACTTTGCAAGTATGCTATGATGCAACCCCAAAAAATATTAAAAGGGGATATTTTACACACAAAACAAGGCAAACCTTACACTTTATTTATGTTTCCGATATTAATTTCGTTAAATTTGTTTTAGGTTCTCAACCAGTTAGAATCGGTAAATTACAGGAAACTCTTATGAATGGTAAAATTACGCGTAAATTTAATCACAAATTACAATAATAAAACTTCTTAGAAAATGAAGGCTGTTGACACATCATCTCGTAAGCATAACATAAGCTGAGGAAGGTTTACCATACTACAGTGAATATCACCTCTTCTTTCGAGAGGAATTAATATTGAGATCTTACTTGTTGTAGTTGATATTCTGCAAAGTCTTCAGCTGATAAAGTTTCCGAGCCAGGAGGGAGAATTTCATCGAGATCAATGTTACCAACATGTCTTGAATTTGCGCAGTAGGACACCAAGGTAGTAAGTGTGCATTGTTTTCTGCAGCATTCATCAACAACACCACTTCGAAAACCTGTTTCTGCTTCTACTACTGCAACACTGTCTTGACCTGTAAGTTGTCGACGGGAAAGAGGTCGGATGATTTCTATGATGGATCTTTTTCCATCTGATTTATGTGAAACTATTAACAAAAAATAAATTATTAGAAATTCTAACTTAAAATGCTTAAAAGAGAGATTCTAAATAGAAAATAATATTTCTGCAATTGCAATTATTTTTAAACAACAGAGCTTTGAATGAATAGCTTTTTGGTTTGAGCTTGATTCTTTTATTATTTTAGCTAATGACAACGCTGGTTTTCAATAAACTATCGTTTCAATGTTTGCTTTTATTTACTTAAGCATTAACCATACTAGATCAATACTAGAGAAAATATCAAGTTAATCCAACTGCTGAAATAGAGGCATTTTGTTTTAGCATTCCTACGGCAGTACTGAGGCTATTGTTTGATTTGTTAGTTACCAAGGATTGTCCCGGAAATGGATGTGGGCAAGGTAATAACATTATACTGGATAGTTTAAGGAAGTTTATAATTAATAAAGCTGATATTTAATTATTCAATTTTAATGATTTTAGAAAATTAACATTTATTTTTTAAAAAAGAGAGAAAGATACTTTTAGTAAACCTATTAATAATAACATACAATTTATTCAGTGATTTTGTATAAAACTTAATTACTTTAGTTGGGTATCCATTGTTTTTTTAATAGATTTTGGATGAGTTTGTCTATTTGTTTTTTCGGATAAATAAACATTACTACATATTCCTTTAATTCTATTCATTTGATTAAAAATGATTTTTTAAACAGATGTTTTTAGAAACATTAGAATTTCCAGTGATTAGTTCATTTTCATTAAAATTCAAAGCATTTCTTTTATCGTATAAATCAAGAAAGCAGTTATTTTCTTCTTTTTTAGTACTCAAATTCAAAAAATAAAATTAATATTATCATCATGATTACGAAGCAAGATTAATTCATGGGGGTAAATATTATTTAATAAAATTGCATTATCTTAAAAATTAAGGATAATTAAATCATCAATAAATCTAAAAACAAATTTAATATAATTTTTTTCATAATAGTGTAAAAGTAAGTTAGCTAATAAAGATGAAAAAATAGATCGTTGTGGTATCCCATCAATTTGAATAAAAATATCCTTTCCATTATAAATAAAATTATTAAAAAGACAAAAATTAATTAGAATTTCCCAATAACTAAAATCGCAATTACGGATATTTTAAAAGTCATAGTAATAACTCAAAAGAACATCTTTTAGTTTAAAAAGGGGAAAAGATCCTAAAAATCAAAAGTCGCATGAAAATCAATTTTATTTTGTGAAATTAATTCTAAAATTGGTTTATTATTAGTGATAATCCAAGAAAAACCTTTTTTGATAATATTGTTAATAATTTTATTTCAGTAGTTAGAGAAAGTGGTGCCAGGTTTAGTGAGGTAAGTATTAGACCCACTATTGTATTGCTATATTTTGCTTCGGTTATATTGATACAATATTAGAAAACACTCCTTTTTGCTGATATAATCGTGTGAGCTGATGAGGAGATTATATCCTTTCATTTTTCTTTTTGTTTTGTTTTCCGGCTGCTTAATGTATGTATATATATTGAATATAATTACAAATTTTAAAAAATTATTGCTAGGAACTGCTCTAACCCTTCCAAGGAATAGTAAAATAAGAGTGACTTACCGTCTCTGCGTGGTGCATGAAAACCTCCATGCTTTTCACATATAAAGTTAAGAAGATCTGCCAATCTTCTTCCACACATTCTCACTCCTTCCACGTTATTTCCATAGAAAGCCGTCAAAGCAACTAAACCCAACAATGCAAGTTTAAAAACCATCCTTCATGTGAATATCCGTTGTGAAAATATCTTCTCTTTATATAGTCCTTAAACGTACCCTTTTTCTGCTTATTTTTTTTTTTTTTTTTGTTCATCAAAAATTGCAGAGAAAATGCAATTGAGTTTCTTAATTAAAGTCAAGCATGGAAAGTATTAAAGGTTCGTGACTTGTATGAAGAAGTATAGATCAAGGTTTCTTTCACTTTCTGATCAATTACATTTTGCGCAATGAAGTGAAGATCAGCCGGTTAACATTCGAGTTATTTTCGCTTTTCTAATTTTCATCAATGTCTGGATCATTGGGTTATTTTTCCCTAAAAGATATATTATAAAGTAAATTGCACAANTCTCTCTATATATATATATATATATATATATATAATAAACTCTACATTTTAATTTCAACAAAATAAGCAAGCTTAAGAAACAAATTCGCATTAAAACTGCAGAAACTAAGCTCCCTCTATTTTTTTTCTTCTCAAATTTTAAATTTTAGCCCTTTAGATTATTTAGGTATTCAGACATTAAAGGTTTTTTGGCATAACGTTTTAAGTCATTCGAAAGAAGATTTTTGTACTTCTTGATAAACAGTTTTTTTTTTAAATTTTATTCGTCAGGCTTAATTTTGTTAATTTTCAACATTAAAATGGAATATAAAGTTGAGAAAAATTATGATATTTTGCACTTTCTCCTTCAGAGCGTTTAAATTTTGTATTTTGTCATATAAAATAACATTCTTTGAAATGATGCAAGAAATTGTATACCTTATAATTCAATTTTTTCGTCGATTATTAAATAAAATACTAAAAAAGGATAAATAACTATTAAAAATTACATTTGAAAAAATAAATTTTAATGTACTAGGCAAACTTTTTCGCCTGAAATTTTCTCGAGATAAAACGAAAAATGAAACTTTCATTCAATCTCCAAACCAAACTATTGGGATTTTGAGGATTCTTCATTTTTGTGTCCAAAGATTAAGATTGAGTTTAAATCCAATACAAAAGTTAATTTGTTACTAAACTTCATGGCAATGAGCTTCTGACTAATATTGAGACAATTGTTGACGTTGAAACAATTTTATACTAAGCATTATATACACTTATTTTTGAATGAGAAGGAAAACTGAAAAGTTAATTGGCGAATAGATATATATATATATATATATATATATTTCAAAAATTATTTTTGTGTGAACAAATTTGGATTTTTTTACTGTCCATTGTATATTAGGTCCTTTTGCATCAAAATAATTCTTTTTTTATTGCTATTTTTAGAAATGTACAAATCAGATGCATTATGTTAGATGCACTGGTAGAACTTCAGATTCATTTTCAAGATTTTTTCAGAAAGAGCAATAAAAATGTGGTTTTTGTGGTGAACTGGTAAAACTGGTAGAAAAAATGGTCGAGAAAGGAATGCAATGATTATTATATATAATGATAGAAGTTATCTGTACTGCGAAATCTCTACTTTTAGACATAACTTTCCATGTGTATCAGTAATTCTTATAATGATGCTTTTTACGAAAAATGAAAATCTGAGAGTAGATTTCTGTAGATGAAAGCGTGTCTAAAGTTTCAACATTAAATTTGAAAAATGAGTCGTTCTTTTTGCAAAACCGGTAATTTCATTAAAATTTGGAAGTGTGTTTTTTTAAAAAAAAATTTTTTTAATTTTTTTAAATAAATTTTTCTATCAACTGATTGCAAGAAATGGTAATCAAATCCACGTTTAATATGCGATTAATAATCGCGTTCTGTAGCCAAACGGTCAAATTCTGCTAACGGTGACTATATTCGCCAAGTGTCCCCTTTGATCAATAGTTTAGTTATTACTTATAGCGTTATTGTGTCTTTGCCTGTGTCTGAACACTCAAAGTTTCTAATTAAATTTCATGCTTATTTTATTTCATTTCTTTTATTATTTTACTATAAAGAAGTGTATGGAGGTAATAAATCAGGAAAGAAACCAAAAAGCTTACCAAGTTTGTGTCGACTTTTTTAATCAAAATTTGCAATAAAATTGGATTTTAACATACCTTGTATCAAATTCAATCTCCAAGAGAGTCTCTCTGGGTTATTAATAGGATTCAGTATTTGTATTCCCACCATTTGAGATGTAAAATTTGACCTTCTTTTTATGGTTTTTTCTACGTATGATTAAATTTGTGCCAAACGGATTTAAGTTCTTTATTTAATGTTTCTAGAATGCTATCTTTTCCGAAAATCGATTTTCAAGTTTTTAATGTTAAAAGATTTAATTATTGATTGTTTAGCATTTTAAATATTAATTGTGCCAAATTTTGCCTCTATATTTTTTAAGGCCTGAAAAGTGTCAACTTGTAGTTGTGCAATTCTTTAAAATGGTACCTATACTCGAGTTGTTATAACTGCGACCGATGAAAATGCGACACTTTTTATTTTACTTACATTTTTAGAACTGAAATATTTTCCACAAGAGTTATAATTATTGACATACGTAGTTTCCAAACATTTCTGTCGAATGTCTAGTTTCCGCTTTAAAGCTTAGAAACATTTTTAATTAACACCACAAAGCCTGCATAAAGTAAACCTGGAAGAATACAAGGAGTGCAATAATCACAAAACTCTTTTGGTATTTTCCCTTATGTTTTTGTCAGACATAGTTTCTAGCACAGTTAAATTTTTTGTAAGTAATACCTTAAGGTTTTAGCTTGAATTTGATGCAGAATAGCTGCGTTCTGGATTGGTGAAAATTACACCTCAAAATCTCAAGATCTTCAAAGTTTGGCATATAAGACGCTTAAACGGGATTTTAATTAAATTCTTTGACAAAAATGTCTGAATTTAAAAATTAAATCTATTTCATTAAATATAATTTAAATTACTTAAAAATAAATTTTTAGTATTAATCCTTATTTTGCTAGGAAAATTTATTTGGTCAATTATTTTCATTTTGCGTGTGTCTTCGAACACCCCATATCCTACTCCAGGCTACAACCCTGATCTCTATTTTAAGCATATAATTGCACTGTCTTAACTATTTACTGTTGTACTGTCTTAACTATTTACTGTTGTCTCATTGTTTACTGTGTTCATTGTTAACATAGTGAACACTAAATGGCCTCAGAATACACCGCATACAGTAATCAGGAAACATGGCCGGTAATGAGCCTGCAGTGCTCCCTAGTGCCACCATCCATTATAACTATATAAAATATCCTGTTTAAGTAGGACTAAATTTGGAGATTTTTGAGATGATAGTTCTAAAAATAGAGCGGCTTTGGAATTTTTTCACAATTTTCCATTTTTAGTATTTACTTTTTAACAAAATAAGGCATTTTCCTGATAACTTACTACAATAATATCTTGTGAATTGTGCTTAGGTTGAAAAACAGTTTTGACAACTTTTTTGAGTAAATGTTTTCAACATCATCCTTTTTTTTCTTCTTAAGAGCAACTTTCGTAAAACTAGCGGTTCAATATAAATTAAAGGTTAAAATAGAATTGTGGCTCGAATTTTTTCATTTAAAAAACAAAGCAAACAATTGTAGCTTTTTGAGTTGCGCTACTATATAGTTACTTTTCACTAATCAAGCAAATTAAAAAAAAATAAAGTAAATAAATAAAAATTTTGTTTATTCATAAATAAATAATTTCGAGAAAAAGGTTGAGCTTAATTAATACTATCAGTCAGACGTGTTGAATCGAGTAATTTTAATACAGCAAAATGTTCTTAAATCCTTCATAGCTAACTTGTTATAGTTTTAAGAATTGAGAAAAAAACTGGACAATTATTTAGTGTGAGTGCTATTTTTAAAAATTAATTAAAGTACTAATAAAAGAAATAGATTAGCATATTATCAGAAAAAAATCTATGTGGTGGCATAGAGAATGAGAATTTGAAAAATTCAAAAATATAATGAAATAATTGGTTGAATAGCTCTGTGAACTGCACGTGCCTAGATAATTCAATTTTAAAATTATGACGTTAAAACGATTTATCAGATATTTTAAGACGCTTAAAAATTTTGGCTTCGTATTCGATAGCTCTATATAATTGGCATCTCTTTATAGTGACAACACTATTACAAATAATCATTGTTGATGTCACAATAGAAAATAAACTTTTTATCACGGTCAGAGGAAGGTTCAACATGGCAGCTTCTTATTGTTTTCCTTAACAACTATTTTTGGCATTCTTCTCACACTTTACAGCTCTTTTTAGGTATAAAACAACACTTAAAAATCTATCTAAAAGAACCTTTCCTTTTTAATTTTATAACCGTCGATTTTTTTGGACTGTTTACAACTACTTATGTTTAACACTGTAGCCTTGTAATTTTTAACCCAATCCAGAATACAAGGGAACTACTGGATCAAATTTTGTGAGAAATTTTGCCTTCGTGGAGGACTTTTCGATGGAACATGGTGAGGAAAACCATGTGGAGAGTACATGGAAAAAGACCACGAAAAGCTCCCACGGTTAGCCTGACGGCAAGGGGATTCCAACCCATGATCCGTCTACCGCTGAGGATATTTTACTTCAGCACTGCGGTTGGTGTGAGGCGAATGCGGTATTAGTATCGACCAGTCATCATTGGGATTCGAGCCCTTTCACCTCCTTGGATGGCGAACGCTCTATTCTCTGAGCCATAACGGCTCTTCTTTTTTAATTAAAAAATATGCCGTTATTTTTCTTTTAAATAAGCAATAATCTAGTTTAAACGGCAAAAATTTCCATACCAAATTTCATTTATTTATATTCAGTATTTTTTGAGATATTTGGGAAAATGTCTTCCATCTCTTAATTTTGTCGACCAGTGTATATATATATATATATATATATA